GAATTTTAGGAACCAACCAATTTTTAACAAATTGTAGTATAATACGGCACTTTAAAACCGTGCATTATTTTTTACTGTATAAATTTTGTCAAATAAGCATTATCAGCAGCAAGTGTATCTGCTCTTCTAATTATGTGACATTAAAAAAAACGAATATGTCAATAACGTCTGCTTAATAAATCTCATAGCCATAATCATATATTATCATATAATCGTAATAGCTTATTTATGCATTTAATCGGTGCAGGCTCACTTGACCTGGATGACGCAGTATAAATAACGTAATTAAATATGCACCGTTTTACCGCTGTTCTTTTCTTATTTCATAGCTCGTTGCGAAAGCGTTTTGCAAATTAGATCGTTACTGGAACACTCGGTACTGAACGCGTAACCGCGTGTATGCAGCGCTGTTTCGTTAATACGCGTAATAACGGCGAGCAAATGGATCACTCTAATGTTGCGTACATCGGGGATAGAAATTCAGTGCGCGGATTTAAATCTAAGGGCGAAATTAGGTTAATCTTGATCCTCGGCACGTTAGTAATTCGAATCAATTAATGAACCAATCAGTGCGACTCGTGTGTTAAATCCACTTAGCCAATTCAGCCTGACAGCAATTGACGCATTACTGTCACGAACTCTGCAGCTATAAATTCTACTAAACTTATACAATTGGCTGTAAAAACTGTTTATTCGAATACATAACACGTGTAAGGACGAAATTTACCTTCTATTTATTAGGACGCATCCAAGTGTACAGGAGCATAAAAGTCAAGTTTATTCGACTGGCAGTCGCGTGATACGCGGTCGTAACATTACATGAACTCTGCGCAAGATGCAGGTAGGGTGCTATAACGATTTTCTAATGCGCTAACCAAGCGAATATACATATGTGTACGTGCAATTGTTTTTGCGCGTTTGTCGATGAGCCGTCCTGTTTACCAGACAACGCGTTCGAGCGCTGCATCATCACGTCAGATTACATAGGAGGAAGTTTCCTCGTTCGGATCTCGTATCGTGCGCACCACGCGCACAGTTTCATGAATAAAATTTCTCCAATTTCACATCCTCGTGTTATGTAAAAATTGGAGCAAAAGCATGGCGCGCATCGCCGCGACAGCGTCGGCGTCGGCATCGTTATAGTGCGGCGAAGTCGCGGCGGCGCGGCGCGGCGTCGCCGTTGCTTTGCAAATGTTGCAGGAGGCCTCAACGCCGCGTGCGAGGAGCGATGTGCGCGCGAGTCGTCACCTTAGGCGAGGGGGTATTCTTCGCGAAAATTGAGCTGCCGGGGTTGGGATGTGTAGATAAGAATACATAAACCCCGCATACAGCAAATGCGCGCCGCTCGTGATATTGCACAATTCCTGATTTGAATAAATAAATATATAATATAGATGAAAACGAGCGCTTCTGTGTGCGTAATTACGAAATCTACCGTGAATATTTAGCTTTGTAGAATTATTCAGATAAAAGATGTATTAATAGAAAGCAAATTGAGTTAGGATTCTCCACTTATAGTCCATAAGCCCGCATTTATGCTGTCGACTATCGAGTTAAAATGAAGAATGAAATGCTGATACAAAGAGAATGAAGAGAAATTAGAAAAAAATAATAAGTGATAAATTAAAGAAAGATATAAAAATTAAATGCTATACATTGATTTTAAAGTCCATTGTTACACGAAAAGTGTTACGTTTGATGGACGCGTCCAATAAATTTTTTCAATAAATAGTTTGACATTAAAATGTTACATGCATAAGTTTTAATATGACTCGGAAATTATTATTATAATTATTATGTAATAACAGTCACAATTCAGAAATCTGCAAGAACTCATAACGACCAAATAAACTTTGATTTATTTTAACTCATCTTGAATGTGCATGTTATAAAAGTCTCAAACTATTTGAATAAATAAACTTCGTCGATAAAATAATTTTAATATAGAAGTAATCCTATATCGCTCGTCCCCGTTCAAACGGAGTAAATCTCGGCGCCTCCATTTCGATTCGATTCACGGGTATATCGGATCTGCACGTCGCGCGTCGCCGAGAAAGTCGCTTTATCACAGAAGCGTATTCCTGAATATTGACCACGCGAGCCAATCGATACTCTATCGACCCCTGAAAATCGTTCAATAATTCAGAACGGTCGCGGAACTGGATTCTGGACTCCGATAGCAAAAACGTGTAAAAGTCGCGAACGTGAGGCGTGATTGCCAGGAATCAAGCTGTAGGAATATCGCATTCAAAACGAGACAACGGATTGATAATTGATCCTCAGTGAAATTACAAGTCAGATCCGTGGATTATATCGCGAATTACATCGCGGATAGCTGCGCGATATAATTACGGATCCGTTCTTTCGATCGCTACGAATGAAGTACGTCGGGTTACAGCGCGAGATATTGTAAGTCTCGCCCCTGATTAGATAAGTGCTCGATTAATCGGTTAATAAGACAATTAATGCGCGCGCGAAATGTTTGTCGGCTCGTTCGAGGGTGAGACCGACAAGAACCGAACGCGCAACTGCCGTACACATATATCGGATTAGGTTTATATATTCGAAACCGGTCAGAACTGCCGAACGAGAAAAGATTACGTCGCGCGGGCGACTTTCGCGATAGATCGACATTTTTCGCGGGCGCCAAATAATATAATGGCTTTCACTTCGCGCGCCGCAGAAATCGCGGCTCGTATAATAAGCGGGGCATCACGCTCGAAAACGAAAAATAATTAATCGGATGCAATTAGCCGCGTTACGTTTCGGCGCGCTGCACTTCAGCACCTTTAAGGTTGAGATTAGCAATTGTTCATCGCTGCTGTTACGTACATACCGATTTATGAAAAACGTATGCTAAAAAAAGAAAGTATAGGTACAGGAAATATGCGTTGAGCATGCACTAATAATCCATAAAGATATCTAATATACATACGCGCGGGCGGACTACTCGATTACGTTTAAACGTAAACAATTTTTTGCGTGCTCATAATGCGTACATACATTTTTATCCCATCTCTTGCCTACTTAACATTTTAAATTGCACGTTTCCACATTTTTATAAAATATAACCAATTATGTAGATTACTAGAATTAATACCTTGAATGATACTTTTATGTGTGCCGCCAATGTTAAATGAAGATAAGATCGACTGTAATAGCCATTAAATGGCACTTATAGACTTCTTGAGATAATAGATAATGTAATTTAAAAATGATCGAACATGTGGATTGTCGAGTATCACTCTAGACAAACTATATGATTATAATTCAAATCGCTCAACGACAACGGACATCTCTTTAAGCCTGTCTCTTACGTTTTGCGATTTTATGTCCAGCATAATACACTGTGGCAATTGGAATTAGTAGGTTGAGGTAATAAGTAACGAGCGGACGGCTGCGGCGGCGTCGGCAGCGGCAGGCAATCTATCTAGAAAAGAATTCAGGTCTTTCTGTTTCTTTTTTTTTTTTTTCTTACGGCCATTCAACGACCCGTAATTCTAACTCTTTAGCATTTGCGCCAAACGTGAAATTCCTTTTGCGAATGCCTCGTTTTCTAACGTAACGAACGGGCCGTAATCAGGATCGTGCTTCACCATTCTTGAATCTCCTTCCCTTCTTTTTTTCAGGCGGGACGAACTTTTCGTGTGACAGCCGCTCGTGTCCGAGTGTAAACTTCGGAGTTACCGTGATTTCTACTCGGGCATTGTGCAGATAGTAGTTTTCATGAATAATAATAACTTTCGGTTATTCGGACATTGCCAGTTTCTACTTTTTCCTCTCTCTCTCTCTCTCTTTCTCTCGCAAAAAATCTTCTGCATTCAAATGAATGAATAAGAAAATCAAAATCGACTTATCTTAAAGTGAGCACTGTTGAAATAAGCGCATTATGCGACACCATCAATTAACCGAGGATCCGTGTCGTGACCTCGAGGTCAGGACGTCATTTTCAACAGTCGTGACTCTCCGTCAAATCTTCTCTTCAGATTTCATCAGCATTAAAAGTTGCAACAAAATAATAATAGCTTAACTTCAAATTCCATTAATCGTACGATGCTATCGTAATTTTTATCAGTTACTTCGTTCTCTTAACAAATATATGTGTAATATATACTTAACCATCATTTCGCTTAAAAAAAAAAAAAATTGCTTGGATCAAAAGTTGTCAAAAAGAAAGATACTTGGACTTATTGTGGTTTTCGATCTTTTTAAACATCTTCAATAATATTTTTCTGTCATATTGTTTCATTATATTTATGTATTACGATAAATTTGTTAAAGTTATTTACTCTAGTCTTCAATTTTTATCGAGACTCTTTTCTTTAACACTCTACAGTTTATGAAACACCCCGAAACTTTGTTGACGGAGAACGTATGCTCCCATCATCTGAAAGCCTACGTGAGTCCATCCCGCAATCGAACAACGATTTATCACTGACAAGAGTTTGCCCAATTAACTAAAGTGATGATCACACTCCGTGCTACCATGCTGCTGCTATCGACACTGCACCTGCGCCGTCTACCGTAACCGGAAAGGACTCCGCCGTTAGCGTTAGCTAGCATGCGAGCTGTGGCAACGCTCGTGCATGCCGTGCACCACGCCTGCGAGAAAGAGAGTTGTATCCGTAGGTGACCAGGTAACCCGGGTGGTGCTCGGTTGCACTTGGTGTGGCCCGTCGCGTAGAAGCCCGAGCGTGTAGGCCAACGCCGCCGCGGGTGGGGCAGGAGGAATAGGAGGCTGCGACCATTAAACGTGGACACGAATACAACCCACAACGGGCAACTTCTATCCATCGCCGCCGTAAAGGAGGGACCCCCTTCGCCCCCGAACCGGGTGGTGGGACTACCGCCGCCGCCGCCGCCGCCGCCGCGGACTTACGGGCTACGGCCGCTTGGTACGCGGTGTACGTGGATTATAGTTTTTCTGGAGGGAGGGTGGTGGAGCGCCTTGCTTGCTTTCGAAAGGATGGTGATTGTGGAGCGTGTCCAGAGTAGAGTTAGGCGTATATAAGGCCCGCCGGCCCGGCCCAAGTCAGTCATTCACCGGACTACCAGCCCAATACACACACCAAACATGAAGGCCTTTGTGAGTATTCCGCAACGGGGGTTGGTGAGGTGTTCGCGAGGTGTTTAACTCGTAGTCTCTCAGTACTTCTCGGTACTTTTGCCGTTTCGCGCCCTTCGTTCAGATTTTATTTCAATTCCGTTACTTTTATCCAATCTTTGCTCGCAAACTTTGTCGCTCTGGCTATTCATTTACTTCAAAATTACGTGTTTCTTCGAAATCATCGTAGTTTCTTGATCAGATACTTGTCTTTGTTACCGTAAATAAACAGTGTCCATCTCAAAACTTTGAACGATTCTTCAATTACTTGGAATCCTTAACGGAATTACTCATAAAATTCTGCCTTTCTTGTAGTCGCTGCGAAAGTTTATCTCTGAGAGCGCGCTTGTCTCTATAATGTTTCGTTCTGGGGTTCTTCTTAATTGAAACCAAACAAGAAACTAGATTAATACAAGATTGTATTTAGATGGCGATGTATCTGCAAACGGAAAGTAAACACTATCTCGCAAGCTCGAGAGCTTTTGTTCGCGTCAATAATGCACGTCTATTAACGTCACCATTGTACCCCGTTACGTTTCTTTGCGTTTCTTACTGCATCCGCGATATAACCGACGATGATTCAATGTCACGGTCGGGATATTCTCGTCGTTTTTCTCTCTGCAGACAGACAGACGCACAAACAGACGAACCGACGACTTTCATTCATAAACCAAAGAAATCTTACCGCATCGCGCGCCGACCGCTCTCGGCGAAAACCGGTTGTAAGCAGTATCATCATCGTCATTGAATAAGCGGACTAACCCGCGACCGGTTTCTATTCCGCATAGGCGCATCTTCATTCACGAATCTTGCGACTGCTTGCACATACTTCGCTGTCACTCTTGCCGTCCTCTACCGTTGCATCTCTCTTGATTTTTCCTGTCGATTTACGTACGCAGCGTCCATTGAATTGGAATAATCGCCGAAATTACGTTTCCGCCTCGTTTTGCCCTGCAAATGTAACGCGCGTTAATTTTCATTTTTATACTAATCGTAACGCTAATTAGCTATTTATCAATAATATTATTATCAGTAATATCGTCGATAACGATCGTTGCGTCAGATCTCGGAATGCCTTTGCAATTTCCTCAGGGCCGATGGAAATATACTCGGCGCGCGCGATCGCGCAGGCGATTTTGAAATCGGCACGATCGATCCTTTTCCGATCGCGAGGTCGCGGGAACGCTCGGTCGGTCACGTCACACGAGCGCGCGCGCGGCCGCGAGATAGTCGTTCATTTCGCGTAAACGGGATGTGAAAGTTTCGCGTTAGTCGTTAGATATGCATAATTCCAGGCCGCGGTGCCATTTAAGTTTGCAACGGTCTCAAACCGGGCGTGACACACGCGCCCGTCCAATACCGCTCGCACGCGATCGCGAAATATCGGTTACGTATATACATCGCCGATATATCTAATCAACCCGACGGTTCTACGGTCGCGCGAAACACTTCCTTTCTAAAGGCCGCGCTTCCCGTATTACGAGCCGTGAGCGTTACGACTTTAAACGTATCTGGTATCTGAGATACGTGACGTAACTCGCCAAGATTTGTCTCTCTGATCTCACATATCTTAGAAAATTTTTTAGAATTCCGAGAACCAATTAATTACAGGTTTCTCAATTAATTATTAAAAAAAATCGATTCCGCTAATTCGAATCTCGACCTTAGATACGCGAATTCGCGCAACGGATATGACCGGTTACCGATTAATTATACGAATTTCGTGCGATATCTCGCGTTGAGTCGTTTTCGCGCGGATTTTATGCAATCGCGACTACTTTTTCTTACGGTCCGACGAGACGCGTTGCGCGTGCAGCGGCCTATTAACGGGCCTAGAAGAGTTTTCCTAATACGGTCATCAGGAATGGTGACCAGAGTAACCGACGCGAAGGGGAGGGGGAGAGGGGAAATCGTGGCGCTATCAAGTTGATTACGAAACGTTACGGCGCGTATATAGTTACGGGTATCTAATATCGTCGATTTTCCCGTCGATGCACTCGGGCGCTTTCTCATTGCGTTTTTGTTCGCGTAATCGCCGCCGCCCTCGCAATAAATCGGCGCAAATGCGCGAATCATCTCGGCGATCTGGAAACCTTCTCTTGCGCGCGCAAAACCGTTTCCGTTCGGTTTAGAGTTCGCGATCGTGAACCAACGTTCGCGGAAATCGAAAGTGAAAGCCGCGATTATGTTGCGCGGATCTAGCGGTAGTCAGACCCGGTAATCGGCGCCAAGCCAATGGAAATCTAGATCCGTAACAGTGATAGGCCCCAACGACGCGCACGCAAGCCGTTTCCGTAAATCGAAACTCGAGCTTACGCAATACTTATCGTTTAAAGTTTTCAACGGTCTCGGTCGAATACCGGAGTATCGTCGCGTATCTTCGTAATTCGCTGACTCGTTAGTCGAATGACGCCCCGCGTCTCTTCCAGATTGTGTTCGCCTGCTTAGCCGTCGCGACGGCCCGCGCTGGAATCGCCCACGGTGGCGGATATGGTGGCTATGGTGGTGCCGGTTTGGCCATCACCGGACACGGCCTGCGTGGTGGTGCCGGTCTGACTGGTGGACTCGCCGCTGGTGCTGGAACCGCTGCCTCCCTCCAGGGTGGTGCCTCCAGCTTGGGATCTGGTGGTCTTGGTGCCAGCTATGCTGCTGGTGCGGCGGCGGCGGCTGGTGCTGCTGGAGTTCAGCAGATCGTCTCTGGTGGTGCGTATCTACGTACCAAAATCTAAATTACTACTTAGGACAACAACGCAGGATAGACGCCCGATGTTGAACAATCGCTCGCTCTTCTCGCGCAGGAGTCTATGGTGGCAGGTCTGACATCGGACCCGCTGAGGGACCCAAGGCCAACGTTGGACCCCAGACCGGACCATCTGATCTCGTAGGACCCCAGGAGGGAGCCAAGTCCATTGGTGGACCCCGCACTGGCCCCGCCAGTCTTGTAGGACCCGCTGCCGGCCCATCCACCCTCGTTGGACCGTCCCAGGGAACCGCCACCCTCGTAGGACCATCCCAGGCTACCGCTAACCTCGTTGGACCCAGCTACGGAGGTGTTGCCTTCTACGCCGGATCTGGTGGCATCAACGGTGATGACGGAAGCTCTGGTGTTGCTGCTAACGCCGCGCCTGGTGCTGGTCTCGGTAATACACATTTTCAATCAGATAAACAAATTACATAAAAGTAATTACATGTTAAAGACAGTAGAAATTTTCTAATGTCCAATTCTTTCCTCATTTACCTTTTTACATCCACCAAATATTTGAGTCTTCTATATATCAACGATATTTTCTTCAAAAGGTGGAATCGGCCTTGGCGGTGCTGGACTCGGCCTTGGCGGTGCTGGACTCGGCCTTGGCGCTGGTGGTGCTGGTGCCATTGCTGTCATCGGAGGTGGTGCTGGAATCGGTGGTGGATATGGTGCCCTCGGTGGTGGTGATGCCGGAGTTGCTGTGATCAACGGACCATCTGGCGCCATCCACGCTGGACTCGGCGCTCACGGAGCCGTCATCCCCGCGCCCATCAAGTGGGCGTAGACGTTTTAAGACCCCAGCGATCTCGGCTCGGCGACGGCGGCAAACCCACCACAGTCACTTACCGGTCTCGAACGATCCTCAAACGCGCTCAACGTCTTCTTCCCAAAGCTTCGTCCAGTCTCGGAACATAGCCGGTGCAGCCCTCGGTTTTAGTGATATGATCAGTCAAACACTCGGAACACACACGGAACGGTCGAATCGGTCGTGCATACGTACACCGCGAGCCGATATGAAGCGCGCGATCCGGAGGACAGACGGATAAGATCGTGAGAGGACGGCACCGAGATTTCGGCCTACGTGATCCGCGGCCTCGCGTCGTTTGCTCCTCGTTCTCGACCCGCTATACAACCGGGTAAAATTTAGTCAATTACCGTTCATCGAGAGACCAACGATAAAGGAAGCTCGGCGGCGGGCCGCGGTTTTACCGGTCTTGGCGTACGAACACCTCGCCGTACCTCGACGAGCTTTCACCCGCGAATTGGCGAACGTCGTCTTTCGGACACTATCAAACACTACTTAAACGCGACGCGCATTTCCGAGTTGCGACCGTGTGCCGCAAAGCCACCCCGTGCGCACACGCGTATCACGCTGCACCGTCATGAGCCTAGCGAGTGGGCGAGCTTTGGCACTTCGTCGTCGGATCAACCGGATTTGTTCTGTTTTCTGAACATCTACCGTTGCTCCGGCTGGAAACCTTCTTTTTCTTACGTCTTCCACCATCCGTAAGGCCGCCGCTCTTCACGCACATATCTATTTCTCTCTTTTTCCACGGGTCGCTTCCATGGCGTTCCCGGCATGTTGTTATACGTACCGCCGCACCCCAAGCATACATATTATTATTACTCGCGTCCATGCGCACATATGTTCTTCTTATATATATGTAAACATATTACTTCCGCGCATATATATATACATATATATATGTATATATGAACACATTGCCACACGCGCGCACACATACACATACACTATATTTCTATATGTGTACTCGTATATATACACACATATATTATATAATCGTGTTATATGTTAGTGAAAAGGAGAGACCGGTAGATTATGGTAGGTCAGCCTTTCTCATGAGTGAATGAATGTAAATAGATGGCTCGCCGTCGCCGGCCCTCGACCCCGCCCGCCCTCGTCATACCCTTTCTTTGCGATCACGACTAGCACCCCACCACCACCATAGATAGATACCACATATTTATAGCGTTTATACATTTATACAATACTTTATATAAAATAAAGCATCAGTATTTAAAACTCATTCTTGTCTATTCGCGTATCTTTCACTGTACCTAATAGATCGTATCGTCAATTTCCCTGTACATTTCACTTCGTCCTTTTAGCTTCCAGTCGTCAAATTCTTATTGACTTTTCAGTATCATTCGGTTATAATTTAATTATTCCATTTATAGTCAACATTTAGGAATAATTATTATTATGGCAATAAGAATGCTCATCATACATAGAAGAACATGTATGAAATATCCAGTAGAAATTGTTAATTGTATTGAGATATACGATTATTTTTAAAATGTATCGTGTATCAATGGTATTTATATTTAGACATTTATATACATTATCTTGGATCTATGAAAGCTAATATCTATCTGCTAACATAATAATATGTAGATTATCGAGCAGTACAAGCCAATTAATTGATCTATATTATTTGTCTAACATATATGAGTTATTGAATTCCAGCATACAAGCCGATTAAATGAATTAATGCAAAAGACGATGAATAAGCCAGACAAGAAGAGAAAGAATAATGCAGACTAACAAAAGAATAATAAATCGTCTTACTTAATGCTAACAGATAATATATAAAAAATATAAAAAAAAAGAAAAAGGCAATATATTTATCGACAATAGTTCTTCTCTTATCAATTCATTTTTTGTTCTGTTTTAGTACTATATTTTCGTATGTCTCATATCAACCGCAATTTTCGTAGAAGATCACCACACACATGAGTTTTGCAATTGTAAGTTTTAAGCTTTTATATATACTTAATGCAAATAAAAATATATATGTTTGATAACATGTGAGTAATGATTTCAAGTAATGTCAATCATAGTTAATAATTATTATAATTATGGTTAGTACTCAATTACGTATTAATAAATTTGATTTTTTTTTCAGATTACTGCGACGTAACGTTCTAGTGGGTATAGATTTTATAACTACCTGTATTGAAAATCTATAATTAATACCGATCGTTTTTATTGAGACATGGGCGAACACATATTACAGCCGATAATAAGTTTACGAGGTTAAATGTTTTAGTTGTCCATATACTTGCGCACATAATTAATAAATTTAAAATTTAATATTCAGTAAAATATTGAAGCCGATATGATAAACAGCACATTTAACGAGAATACTGGTATAAATTGTTAAAAACGGCGTTACATATGCAATACCAATTTGTTACCTTTGCCATGGTGTTCTTTTTTTGACACCATAAAATTTAGCAAAACAATAATAATAATAAGTAGACAAGATAAAATAAAACAAATGTATATTTTTTCTAAATTTACGAATTATTTCAAAAAAGTTAGTCATTTTTTAAATAATTTATTTAAATATTGTAAATATTAAAACTTTGTAATTACGAATTTTTTATTCTTTATAATTAAATCGAAGCTTCTCTTATTTTCCTCATTTTCATATAATTAAAACATTCATTTATCTATTTAAATTATGTTTTATCTTTTGAAATGTTGAATTACACCAAGTTTGTTTGAAAACTTGTTAAATTTTGTTTTTATCGCACAAAAGAGTTAAATATAAAATAATAATTACATTTTATTATAATAATGAAATGTAAATTTGTGCCATTAAAGACGCAATGTATTTATATAAAGAACATTAAAGTTATTAGTCACATATTTACTATTAAGTTAACTTAACTCTGTAAAGTAAAAACACTAGAAGGATCAAAAACCTTCTTTTAATAAAACATTAGATTGCAAATGGACCGCCTGTTGCGTTAGTCTGCTTTAATAAAGGAATTTGTTTTGCTAATGTCCGCGTTAATAGCCGATACAACGTTTTTCAAAGTTTCACTATGGTATTTAAATCATGCGCTTAACAGGTAGTAGAACCACAAAAGAGAATTTGCCTTGGTTACATATAACGTTGATCAATTGCAGTATTATGTCAGTTGATTTAAATAGATTATGCTCAATTATTTGGAGAAACATCGTGAATGAAATATATGTATGAAATTGATAAACCTGCAAATTTATAATTACACATTATTACTATATTCCTCTTATTATTGTTTTACGCGGAACGTTCAGGATAAAATTCGTAGTTAAAGGACAAATTAATATCTGAATGTATCTCTGTATAAGCTTCGTTATTTCAAGATTAATCGAGATATGCCGTTTAGGTATTAGCTTTGATATGAACGAGCGCTAACGATGCTAATTAAACCGAATTAATCTCAAAGTGGTCGAGCAATGCTGGCTTTCCCCATTAGAAGCCAAGATAATTCTCGTGCAAGCATAGAGAGCGATCTTCTTGTGAAATTGCGAAATAAACTCAATAATTTGGAAACGTTGATCGTGAACAAATTATCTATACATGTGTATGTAAAATAATTTCCATTTGTTATGTATTAGAAATTGCATCAATTATTCTATTATATTATATGCTTATTAGAAAGTAAAATGGGGATATTTTATCAGATTTGTCGCACAAATTCTTACGTCTACGAAAGACTTGTAAATTTTTCCCGGATTTTACGTTGAGTACATACGACCGCTTTTACGTTTTTCTTCAGCGAGCTACAAATAAAATAGAAAGATGTAAGTGCGCGTGCTAAGCCGTGGAATCGAGCAGAACCTCAGCGAGTGGAACACTGACTGGTGATGTGGCAGAGAACATGAAATTTGAATGCGGTAAGATGACTCTTTTTTTTATATTCCAATCTTTTTTTAATTTTTTTCCACGAGACAAAAATAGCATCGATTCCCGATCTTGCCTCACACACGCAAACCGTCATATTTTCTACTATTCTCGAATAGAAACACTTTTTGGTTTTCCAAACCGTGCATTCGATGTAAAATTCAAAAATAAAATGTAAAATTTAAATGGTGTTAGTTTTCATTTTTTACAAAACTCTGTACACCGAAATTTCTAGTTTATCGTTGCGGCAAATAGGAATTAAAATTAAACGCGAACGCAAATATAATTTTTGACAATGTAACTTTTTTAGTTACCCATATCTCCATTTCGTGATTTAACTATTTTTAACAAATCTGTAAATTGGATTATTCGCAAAATAGGTACCGACGTTACTTGCATGCAGAAATAGGATGGAATAGTAAATTTATGACGCTGCGTTCTCGAAAATAGAAATTGTGATACTTTACAATGTTCTCTCTTGCTTTACATATCATCATTTTAAACATTTATCATATTTACCTTTTCGAGACAACCTTTTCGAATATAGCCAAGCAACATTTTCTAAATTTATGGATATTAATGGATATTACTCAACAATGTTAGCAAAAAGACAAAATCATAAAGAAATGAGAAATAACATTGTCCTTTTGCAAATAATGGAGGTTTTTCCAAGCAAAATTTATATTTATGAAAACAAATATGAGGAAAAAGAACATGAACGATCATGTTTAAGAGATTGCTTTTAGGAATAAATCGTGAAATAAATCATAAAATTCCAGTTTTACTCGTATTGATCGCGTCCTTTGTACATCATATAAAAATAATTTTATATGATGTATAAAGGAGGAAGAAAATACAAACGGGATTATGATATTGTTGCGAAGCGTCATAAGTTGTGTCATAGAAAAACGTGTCTTTCGTAACGATCGTCAAGGAATAATTAGTGGAGATGGCAGAATGCCGGATACGAAGAGGCGCGGTCCTTTCACTCTCGGGGGTGTGCGATTATTGCACGCGTTTCTCAGAAGAATATCTTTTTACAAAGCATTATATGAGGTTGTTCCATTTTTAAGGTCAAGGTTGCCTCGCTCTCAGAGAAGATTTCTTATACATATATTTATACATATATTTGCTTTACGTGAATATGGATTACATTAACAAAACATAAATTGATGAGTTAACGAGATATTGATTTTCTTGGAGACTTTTTCTTTGCAGAAGATATAGCTCAGATATATTCTTAAATACTCTTTAGATCTCGCTTTAGATACAGTTGCGAGATTTTTGCAATTACTTTTACAATTAATTATAATCAATTTCTTTCCTCTTTTAAACAAATTGAACTTTGGCAAAACACAAGTGTTTTACACTTCCCATGGTTTCACATAAAGCAGCGAGTAGGTTGCATGCCCCCATAAACATCGCGGTGCATTGCATCCGTATTGCGCTACAGACAATGACTGCAAATGTCAGTCTCACCATTAGCATTGATCACGCTCAATCGCAGTGGGGTAACCAGGGTACCTCCTTCGATCACTCGTCGTAGGTACGAATTTTAGAACGTGATGCAGCGGATAAAGTTGTACGAAGGCGCAACACTTTGTGAAACATTTACAGACGCGTACAAGCAATTTAAGCAGAAAAGATCATATTTAAAGGTCGAATTTCCGATTTCTTTAGATAGACGTGTTTGCGTCTCTATTCATTTGGCAACGCGTCCAAAGTACTTTCTTCAACTTGCTATCAATGCATCTTCTTACACGATCTTTGAAAATATATTCGTGCATTTTAGATTCGTATCAAAGTTGATTATCACTTGTAGAATAGTTCTCGAGGGATAGTTCTAGCTCGAAGAGCAGGTTTGAATATCAAAGTTTTGTGTAATAATGACAATGTATATAACATTATTATTGAGAACGAATAATTTTTAGAATTGAATAAAATATCTTGAATTAAGTTTTGAATTCTTATACATATAACAGTTAATAACTATTATTAAAAAATATCTTGATATCTTTTTGTTACGTAACCTTGATATCAAATTTCTTGAATATAGAGAATGACAGTGCATAATTGCAAGATAAAACTAAGATCATAAAAAAAGATTCCTTGTATATACGAAAAGCATTTTTTTCGCGAGACATGGATATCCAGATACTCTCACGGTATTCAGTAATAGTTACCAGAAATCGTGATATTCACGTGGAATTAGAGCATTCGAGTTCGCATCTCTTTCATCGTACCCAATGAAAGGTCGAGTGCGCGTTGCCGGTTGGCTTCATCGATTTTATATATCGCATCGAGAAGCGCATTAATTCCTGAGAGCGCGGCTCTTTCCCAGCCTGTTCTCGGTAAATGCGTCGATTCACCTTGCACATCGCATAAATTGCAACCTAGAACTTCGTCATATTATAAATCGCTGCATTTATAGCGGTGCGCATTGTCTCATGTTTTAAATATATTAAATAAAATAATTATTTTTGTTATTAATACGCAATTAACGCGTGGACCGCGAGAAGAAGTTAATTTTAGGCAAAAGGTAAAACTCGAAACAATTGAAATTGTAAAAGAATCTTTCAGTACCTAAAGGTGCCTTTTCATGCTGACGCTCGACGCTCATTTTCAGCGGCAAGAAGGTCGCATGACCACAATTGACGCCAGCGTCAATTGAAATTCATGAAAAGGAAAACAGCGTCAAAATTTCGGCGTCTTCGCGCTGCTTTGGCTTTGACGCTTGATGTTGGAAAAATCCAACTTCTCTTTCTTGACGCTGGCATCATAGTGATGTCACGTGACGACGCTCAACGCTGTTTTTCAGCGTCCCATGAATTGGCACCTTAATGCCATTGCACTGAATAACTTCATATAATTTCAACTTTTACTTCGATTTTTGCTGAATATAATGATCAAATTTTATTTACTGTTACGCACACTATATAAGTAAACGAATGTAATCACAAATTACATATTATATAAAAATTTATCCCCGTGGTATGTGGCGCATAGAGTGTGATTGCTTATGATTACATTTAATGTCTATATCGTGATCTATGACCCTATAAACATGTGCACACTCTCATAACGAATGCAGTTAGCATTAACGTATGTAATTGGATTTATTTTGACGTTGCCTGAAATTCTCCGCATAATTATGTATAACGCTGCTGAATATGTAAGACACATTATATTTGCAGATTGTATATGCATAACATATACAAGGTGATCCTTAAGTATAAGAGAAAATAATTTCTGAACCAATTTTAAGATGAAAAGCTTAAATAAAGATGAATTTTGTCCTTAACGACTTCAGAGATACAGTGAATATGCTACAATGTTGAATTAAAAAAAAAAAGAATCATTTCCTTGATATTTTTCTGAAATGTGTGCATTGAGATTCGTTTATGAAAAAAATATATATATACATATATAAAATCAATTTCTTATACTTTGTCACATCTATGTATTGTTGCATCTATTAGTGATATATTTCAACATTTGTTATGTTAACATTCATGTATAAGTCTTTTGACTTTATATGTACTACGAGGAATTGTTGACGAGGTTACCAAACCCCTCTGTGTAATTTGTAATCTTCGGGGTTAAGGCGCTCGGTTGCCCTTCTCTTGAATTACTTAATCGCTCGATTGACCTATCCTGCTATGTGGTCACGCAACTGAGATTTGAAAAATCTAAGTAGCAAATTCTTCAAAGAAGTTTATCACTCTCAATTCGCTAAAAATTAAATTACTTTTTTCTCAATAAAATTCTCTCATTAAATGATTAAAATAATTTGTTACATGTGGTGACGTGTATATTTGTTTTTGTTTCTACAATACAATTATATGTGTAATGCGTGAATATTGTGGAGAATAAATTAAGATATATATTATATTATAATTGCTGCAAACTCGCTTCTAGTAAAATATAATTATGATGTAATTAAAGTAATGATAAAATAATTTAGTAAAATATAGTTATTATATATAGACAGATTTCCTAAAGCAAGAAAACCCTGTAAAATTGTATTAAAAATTGTAAAATTGTATAAATACATATCGATTATATTTGTGCTTGTTATGATGTTAAAAAGATTTCGTGAACTTATAACGATCTCTAAAAATTTTTTCCTTTAAAGTAGTGTGGGTCGAAGAGCTTCAAAGAACTTGTTTACCAAAATGTGTGATATCTGATATCTTCTGATGAAAACTAACTTTCGCCACCATTTACCTTCCGCGCATAGAGATGGAAATTAGTAGATAGCGAACTTTACGCGAGAGAGAGAAATATTTTTCGAAACTCGAGCGCCGAATGAACTCATTTTAACTTTTTCCCAGGGTTTCGTCCGTGGCAGTCATTCGATGAGTCAAGGGTGGGTGTGTCAAATGCTAATCTTACACAATGCACGAGATTCCACTGCAAACCAACGCAATTTGAAAGGATAAACTGGGTCGTACGACTGTATACAGGTGATTAACATGTGCAATTACGAGAAAAAAATGTGAGAATTTACTGAGATTATATATTTGTTTCTATATTTATTATTCAACGTTTTTGCACGTTAAAGGGGAAAAAGACTTTTTAAAAAGATGTGAAAGTCACTAGATGCACATGTTTTCTTGAAGAAGAAAAATGTAAGAGACTCATATTTCAACGGTACATAAACATGCATATTCAGAATGCAGCATCTAAAGAGATAAAATATCTCCTTGTTGCTTGTAAAGGTAAAGAAATATTGTTTAAGAGTGAAGTTGTATGGACTTCAAAAGAAGATTAGAAAAGAAAAATTAATTAGAATTGCGCAATTTTATCCTCAATGATATTTCTAAAAATAAAAAAATATTTAGATGCTCTTTTAGATTATTTCAATCTCTAGAAATCATTAAATTACAAAATATCCTACATACATAAATCAATTTAAAATATATTCTGACCGTAGAAAAAACAGCGAGCTGAGGAGAATCTTTTATACTTTCATAAATTCCGAATCTCAAAGTATTGCAAGATAATTGAACGTAGCGTTCACAATTGCGTTATAAAGCGCTAGTCAGCAAAGTCTAGTACGTACAGATCAGACAAAGGAGGTTGTTTCTGAAATTTCTGAGCCAAGAGTTTCCCGGCGAAGGTCATGTAAGGGGGGGTCCATGTCCAAAGGTGGGGTAGGTGTGCCGGATGGTGACCTTCTTACACAATGAACGAGAGGCTAACATCGTCAACGGATATGATTTGAAGGGATCAGGCGCGGGGGCGCGGTCGGAGAGATCCTAGGAGACGTATATAAAGTCCGCCGAAGTCGGCCGTAGGCACATTCAAGCAATCGCCGGTCGACACGATGAAGACCCTCGTAAGTATTCATCCTGACGGTCGGAAGTGCGCGCTCCTGTCTTTCTTTCTTTTGTTACCCGAACAATCAACGTGCCGCAATCGGACCGCTGCTCTTTCAGCGGAACGATGAAGTGACATAAAGTGACAAACTCGCGTTGCGAATATATAGTTCGTTCCTGTCGAAGAGTTAGGCAAGAAGTATGATAACCGAATCATTTTATCGCGCGGGAGTTCCGTGATCTGCCTCGCTGCTTGATCGTCGTACAATAAATATATAGCTTCAAAGTTAAATATTATGGAACGTATTTTTCAAAATTTCTGTCGTTTATGTGTAAAAAACACTTGGTGTTGTATTATATCGAGCTATAAGAGCTACGTAAGTTTATTGCTAAACTCACCTCGAATTGAAATTCTTCATCTCCAGTTCGTTTCGTTTGCTCTGTGCGCCATCGTTGCTGCGGCACCTCTTTCTCGTGAGCGACGAGAAGCTCTCTTGGGCGGTCACGGATATTACGGTGGTGGCCATGGAGCTTACGGTGCTCACGGGGCTTACGGAGCTTACGGGGGTATAGGCTACGGCGGGCATGGAGTCGCTGTTACTGGACCGTTCCTTGGGGCGGCGAGTGTCGCGGGTCCACACGTGGGTGCCACCGCTGTTTCCGGTCCGGCGATAGGCCCGGCTCGTTTGGCCGGATCGATGGCCGGTCCTACTCACGTGTCGGGCGCCGTTGCTGGACCAGCTGTTGTGACCGCGTCGGTCGCTGGTCCGGCGCACGTGGAAGGCTACGGTGGTCCGTACGACGGTGGCTATGGAGATGGCTACGGAGGTAGCTATGGAGGTGCCTATGGCGGTAATTATGGTAAGTAATATAACTGATTATAAAGTTGTCGCGTGAAAGAAAAAGAACTCTTGACGATAAGCAGATTGCAAAAAAGATTCTAGCTTAAAAATGAGTAATGATCTAAAGTATAGAAACAACTTGAAGAAATTGGTCAGATTGCATAATACTGTGCATAAAGCAATTTTTGGAGTAATTTTTTAGAAAGTTTACTATACAGTTAAAAAGAGTTATTTTTAGAGTTTATTTTTGCATTCTTGAAAGTATTAAACTGTACGTATTGAGAGATTCCCCATCTCTAATATTTATTTTCTCCAATATTTATTTTTCGCTAATATTTATTTTTCTCTGGTTATTTGCAGGCGGTTACGGATACGCGGCTGCTCCTGCTTACGGCTATGCGGGATACGCCGGCGGTCACGGAGGACACGGAGTGGTTGTTGCCGGACCGGCTACCCACGGTGCAGTTCTGGCTGGACCTCATTCCGGAAGCGCGGCTGTTTCTGGACCGCACGCCGGTTCGGTGGTGATTGCCGGCCCTTCCGGAAAGATTACGGCCCACGGAAGCGGTTACGGTGCCGCTATCCATGCCGGCCACGGCCACGGCCACTGGTAACGCGCGCACAGCCGTCTGCGAAACGCAAAAAAAAAGAGGGAAAAATCTCTCTGAATCATCTCGTCGGATCGAAAATATAATACCGTTCCCTCCCGTGATTTTCTAAGAGAGATTGAAGAAGTATTACGGAGATCTAAAATTGCTGTAACACGACGACGCTCGTCGCGCTCGGTGCTCTCGGTTCATGGCGCGCGCATATTTTCATTGTTTCTGTACGAATGGAATAAATTCATTCTTCTTTATAAAAGAAAGATATTTGTGCAATATAAAATAACCCAGAGAGCATTATTTAAATATGTATATACATATAATGTATTGCTTGGTGCATCTCATCAATTTTGATCTCTTATTAAATTCACACGTATCTTACCGTATATTATACGCGACATATTGTTTTTGTATTATATATCCTTAAATCTAACAGACTTTATAAACGCTATTATTCACAAACGATTAAACCGGATTGTACAATTATAGGAGACATTCTCCGAAATTCTCCGGTGGACAATCGTGCAGAAGCCTTGGATCAACCATTGGTTTTAAAAGTCAAGTCAATTATCTTATGCGAACTGCCGTGGCAATTTGATTAACTAATCTAACTTTCTCTTCTATTAGCAAAGCTCAAATTATCTATGATGAAAACAATAGGTAATACAGCACAATTATATACAATAAATGAAATAAGTCTTGAATAATCGTTTACCACTTGGACAAACTATTATCGTTTTCTACAAGAAAAAATATGTAAAAGGTAATTTATTGCAAATTAACATCGTGCACAAAATACACATTTATATTTCAATAAAATTAAAATGTAATTTATAAATTGTAAAGATAAGATAAAATCGCGCAGAATATTTAATATTTTGCCACTAATCCGATTTTAGCATGCTTTAATCTAACATTAACAATGGTAAGTAAGTGAATGTAGTTTACATAATTAACTGGAATCTGTAGAAATTCATCATCTTTTCTGATTTTTGCTCATAGTTTATGCTACTATTCCGTCCAACGCGACCCGTTTAGTCTAAAATTCTTTGTTACGCTTCTTTCTCTGTACTTGCGCTTATCTAGCCTGTTTCGTTATAATTTTCCAGTGTAACATATAGAAATAGCGACATGTAACGACCGTTCGTACTTCATTACGTTTATCAGAACGGCTGCACGTTTCACGTCACGTATTGTTCGACCAGGTCGTTATATCAGCGGCACCGATTCGTATCACTCGATAATAGATCACTCGTGGTATCCGGCAAGCACGCTCGCTAAACGCAAGGAGCTTATAATTGAGGAATCTGACACAGATATCCGACGTAAATGCGTGCCTTAATGCAACGCGTAATGATCGTTGCCGATGTAAAGAGTAAGGTCGTCGCGAGCGTGACTCGACGTGGCTCGCCACTCATAAGCTGAACATGAAAAGTCACGGTCAGAAAGAAAACCAGATACAGTGGTCTGTAAAACATTGATGTAAATTCGAAATTCTATTGCTATCCGGGGCAATTTCATCGATAACTCAATATCCACTTAACGGTGTAAAACTGATTTGTAATATTGTACATTGAGATTATACATTATGTACTACGATGTACACTACAACAATCCATTGGAACATATGTATGTTAAAATAATCCCTGTTTTATTAATGATCGGTGATTGCATGATTTTTCGTACCAGAATAAAATGTACAATTTTTATACGGCCCATCTATAATTTTTTTGTGCACTCGAAGATCGCGTAATGAAAATCACGAGCGAAAAATATAGAAAAAGATATTCGACATAAATTTGAGTATCGTCGCATCTCTCTAGCGAGCACAATTTATACAGGATTTTGCACAAATCCGAGTATGAAACGCGATTTATGGTATCTATTACGTGCGCGTAATTTATCGTATAACGATTTACAATCACCGGATCGTCACATGGATATTTAATCTCGGATTTGCGTGTGTCCCGCGTCTTTGTCCTCCCCTTTTTTTTCCACAACAAATTGCTATCGGAAAATGATATAACCCGCGGCTTTGTTCGCGCGGCGAGCACTCTCAGAGCGGAATATCGAGCGACGCTCCGCTCGAGCGTGGCCTTCGCCTTTATGGGAAAATCGTGGCCCGAGCCACGTCTCGGCTGAGATAGCGGCGACGCGACTACGTAATCCCGTGCGTTTCATCATCGCGATGGTAGCTGTGCATGCATTGTGAGAATGCACCGAACCCTCGCAAATTCCGAAAGGTCACCCACTTGTTATCGGCCGCCCACCGTCCGCGAGCAAACGGAATAAGAAATGGGTCGGGCAACAGGCCGCGCTGTGTGTTTTCACGACGGACACGCGAATAACGCGCAAGGACGTTAATTGCTGTTATGCGTCGACAATGGGTGGGCGATAATCGATCGTGAATTGGCGGGCGTCCGTAACACCCACATCGCTCGCAGGCGGTACAAGTTGACGAGTGATTGTAAGCGTGGGAAGATATTGTTCCAATTAGTGATTGAGCTTCTAAGATTCGCTTAATAATATTGTGGCAGCAAGCGTAGTTATCGAAGAATGACAAAAATGATATTCTAAGAACGTGAACAATTATTACGTGCAAATGTGAATTCCTTTAATACTTTTTATATAATGAACTTTTATATTTAGATATTGCAAATAATATTGCATTTAATAAAAATGAAGAAAACGCAAGACATGCATCCAAACGAGATATTTTAAAATTAACTATAACTAATCTCATCTTTTACTATTTCTAAATTATTTTATTGGTTTGAGAAAGTTTACATTTTATTTTATATTTATATGGAATTTTGATCAATTATATGCGTTCATATTTTTAAGTGCATTACAATTTAAACACATTGATTACATTATACTAGTAAACTGTTTAAATCTATTAGTTAACTAAAAGAGAGAGAGAGAGAGAGAGAGAGAGATAACGTAATTATACATAATTTGTAAGTTATTTTGCTTAAATTGGAGGTAAGAAAGCATTTCATAATAAACTTAAACTAAATTAATGAGGTAGATAAGTTTTTACACAGAGTGGCTGAAAAAACCGCCAACTTTTTTTCTTAACATACTCGCGGCTTTGCTTTATAAAAAATTAAATACATAATGCATCTTCTATTCGACGAACGAAAACTTTTCGGTTTCTCTGAATTTTCATGTTAAGGAGTAAAATATTTCTCATGAATATATTGTAAAAAAGAAACTACCAAATTCGATCTCTTAAAAAAATTCTTGAAAAAAGTAATCAAATTTTATTGAATATTATTCATAAATATATTTAAATTTACAACTAATATTAATATTGTATGATATGCAAATAAGTAATTAAACACTGTTAAATATTCGTAATTGTAACGTATCGAATTGGAAGCTATCAAGGAAGGTAAGTAAACTAGTTCTTGCAATTTGCGTGTAGTTGAATGGACCCGTCATATGTAATATGTAATACGTATCGACTATATGTCTAGCAACCCTGATAAAACGTCATTATATTCACGCTTTCTGCGAAACGCATTTATAAGGGTTTGAAAACGACAGTTCCCGCGTGTGAATTCGTCTTTGTTGCCGCCATAAATCACGAGTCTTGTCGCGGGGTCAGAGTTACGACCGAGACCGATCGTCGTCAGCTACCGGATACCGGTGGCATTCCTGCGGAGATCGATCTGGGGAGAACATAAGGCAAGAAAGCCAGATTGTTTTCTCTTGGCAAACTCATTCTCTCTTCGTCCCCTCCCCTCCCCTCTCTCTCTCTCTCTCTCTCTCTCTCTCTCTCTTTCTTTCTTTCTCTTCCTCCTCCTCTGTCTCTCCTCCTTTGCATTATTATACAACGACTACGCGAAAATGGCGTGAGGCGTGGCCGATAATAATGAGGCGAATAGGGTGTGTGTGAAAGATCGTTAATAGGCCGAACCGTAAAGAGCTACTGTAGATCGCGCAAGGTCGATCAATAAATCCTTCGACAGTCGTAATAGTTTCGGAACGTAGATCCGCGAGCGACGCACTTCATTTTGAATGCCTACGAAGAGAGTTAAAAAGAATGTATTAATTTTTGAAAAACGTGAGATAAAAAATCGCAATATTTATACATATATTTAATTGCAAAATTAAAAACTTTTGCATAAAAAATTTTAGAATCCATCTATTGAAAATACTACGCAAAGTATACTTGTAGCAATTAATATTTCAACAAACTTTTTCCTGTCGAACTCATTACGTGATTTTTGTTACGTGATTTTGTTATGAATATTGCACTCAAATAATTTTTCTGGGAGGTTTGTAACGCGAAATAATTATTTTTTAATTATCGAGTAAAGCAATCTCCGCCACAGTGCATAGTTGAAAATTGAAAATATTAAAATATGAACCACTTTTATCACGCCACTTTTCTATTATTAATTTGTAAATATTATTTTTTTTTACATAAATTTCGAATTTATCGTTCAAAGAGCAAAATGTTTTTCAGTGCGCGTATGTTTTTCAATGAAATTTCATGAAAATGTGAAACTTTTAAATCGCGTGGAAATGTATACGCCCGTCAAATGTCTACTGTATGTTACACTATATGCCTCAGCATGTTTATGCTCTTCGTGAAGATACGACTCACCTGAATTGTAAATATTTTAAGCATCAAGTCGGGCGAGTCTCTTTACCGGAAAATTCTGATAGCTGCGCGGGACCGTCGCTGCTTCATGCCTCTCGATCCCATCGATATCGAATTCTTTTCCGCTCTCATTAATGCCACGTAGCCGATTGACCACCGATAGCGGGTCTCCATCGATGACGACGGAGAATGTCAAGATTAGCGACGCAACGTCTTTCCATCAGCCATCACAGAGGAACATTGCCGTGCAAGCTGATGCTAAGTAAGCTTTTATAGCCGGGATACGACGGGCGAACTTGCGATGACGGGACAAGGCGGGACTCAATCGTTCTAGACCCGTGTGACAAGGTTTAAAAAAAAAAAGAGAGAGAAAAGAAAGAAAGTTCGATCTCAATCGGATTGACATACGCGGTTGCGATGCAACCTCGAACCGAGTCGGATACAGCGACCGCGCCCAAACGAGTAGGGGTGAACTACGATCTAAGAAGTTTATTTTATCACCTTCGCGACGTGATGTTTATTGGCGATACGCTGTCGCGATTGTGTTCACCCGGAGATGGAAGGGAGAGATCTCCTTGAATGGTATTGTAAATCAGTGCTATAATGAACTGCATGGTTTAATGTCACGGGGAAAGTGCGGTCGAAGGTTGTGCAGAAAAATCGATAAAAAATAATTAGTGCGTAACGAATCGTGTTAAAGTAATCATGCCGATGTTACTTTTGATCTTTATTTGACACATTTGATTTTATATCATTGCTGATATTAGGAATGATACAATATATATGTCGCTACAAAGTGGAATTAAAATGTAAATAAAATAGGTCTACAGGTATAAAATAATGTATCTATAAATAAAAGAGGAAGAGAAAAGTGACGATTTGACAAGACAGAATAGAGCGATCTGTTGCGTTTGGCAGACGAGTAATTTGATCTCACGAACGATCAATCTGAATCTCGTGCACATTGAAAATTTTCACAATGAACGATAAGCCATCACCTTCTACGCTGCTTGAAGTAGAACTCACTTGACAGTGCTCGGTGATTGATGATGTACAAAGCTAAATAAATATAGCGATAGTGATCACCATGTTGAAAACGTGTAACATTGTAGCCGACTGCACGTTCGTACCATTAGCCGAATAATAATCGATTAATGCACGCAATATGTACGCTTAAGCAACTTTGATAATCCCTTCATGTCACGTTTCGTGCTTTGTAATTGTAAACCATTTACAGAGGATATCAACGTACATACGCATGTGCGGACAAAAATTTACTTGGCCGCTCGCATTTCGGATATGCTTTGATAACTAAGTAGAGAACCGTATATGCCATACCCAATAACATCCCATATATGTAAACACAGTAACGTGTAACTTTGTGGAATTAGTTTACAGATTCTATACGAGAATAATAATGATGCAATGCTCGAGTACAATTACAAAAGTAACGCAATGATGAATTACATTATAACAAATAGAACGGATAAAAATACATTTTTGTACAATTTTTTTGAGGATTACAATGTCACGTTTGATTAACAAAAACTAAAACGATTCCGGAAAAATACGTTGCTGGAGCCTCGCCAAATTCCACTCGTGTAAAAATGGTTTTGTAACCGAGAAACTTTGTAGATCGCTGATCTACGTCATAACATAAGGAACACAATGCATTTCCCGTTTCCTCGAGAAGAAAGAAATCACGATGGAGGGAATTGACGAGATATCCAAGTTAATAAACTTTTGCGTTTATTGTATTTTTCACGTTCAAACACAGCAGATGCAGTTCTTTCAAATTTACCATTCGACAGACGGAATGACGATGGAAAAAGCTGGTGAAAGAGTTTCCGTATTGCTCAATCAGCAGTCATTTTTACGTTCGGGAGCCTGTGTATGACGTCCGATAATGGCACTGCAAACGATCCCTGGGCACCGCGTCTGCGATCTGCCACGAACTTGATGGTATGGTCGCGTGGCTGGGCACGTACACTCATATCCGACAACAATGGAGCCCTCATTCCTGGCGACAATCTGCTAAGCTTGGATGACGCGTGGGCAATGCAACCCGTGCCTCGCCTATACGAATGCACAATACAATGCGCAACGTAATCGTCTAATGGCGACAGACACGTGCCTGCCTACGAGCTGAGAGAAAGCAGGAAGAGGACACGCGATAGGATACGCGAATCGTCTTTAGTTTCAAGGTCGTTGATGACTGGAGGACTCGCGATAAGTAGTCATCTTATCCTTTAACGATCTTCGACGGCTATTACGAAGTACATATTGATGTTGCATAATAAATAATACATTACGATAGTCGTTGATAATTTTTTTCGCGCAGTGCTCTCTTTATCATTTATGATATACGTTTTTACGAAGAAGCAGATGAAATAATAAGATTTAGAAATCAATGCAGCACATTGTTTAGATAAATTCTGTCATTTGCTTTTGAACAAGCTTTAATGTCAATCACATCTATGATTGTTCGCTTAGTGAGCTAGGAGTAAATATTATATCAAGATATCGATCTGATCTATTGTTGTTGCTGCTGCCGATTGCGCGAATAGACCAAGACCAATGTAACGCGCGAGACCATAAACGGATGCGTTAAAATAGAGCAGCGTGACCCTCGAGCCGCATAACTTGACTTGCAGCGAGGTGAGACGTTAGGTGTACTCTAGTGTCACTACACGGTGAACTGACACTTAACGCTGATAAATCGTCGAAACGTCACCTCAGCTCGCGGAGAATGTTTGGTGTGTCCTATGCCCCGCCCTTGGGGTTGGCGGGAGCGTACGGGTTGGGGCCCGACGGGGAGACAATGCCCCTATAAAAGAGTGATGGACACCGGTCGATGACAGCCACATCCACCTCAGCCACCGAGGCAAATTTTGTAGCAGCAACCACCGATTACTCCCCTTTTCGTTATGTGCTCCCTGGTCGCGATTCTCCTCGTAGCGGCTCTGTCGGTGGCAACCGCGGCGCCGTCAGGCTACTTGGGCCACGGTGCCGCGTTAGCCGGACCGATTCTAGGACCCGCGGCTCTTACAGGTCCCATTAATGGACCGTCCGCACTTGCCGGTCCGGTGGTTGGACCCGCGCGCATATCCGGAGCGGTCGATGGTGGTGCTGTCGTCACTGGTGCTGTAGCTGGACCGTCGGTCGTTTCCGGTAGCGTCGCTGGGCATGCGGCAGTGGTCGGCCCGGCTCTTGGCTATGCGGCACCAGCTTTGGGATGGCCTGCTTACGGTAAGTTACAATCAATTGTTATTATCAAGCAAACGCTAGTGAACTGTGAGATAACGTTACAGATATTAGGGAGTTTTTGCAATACCGTCTTTCAGACACGGTAACCGTATCTCAATTGTTGTGTCTATGTATCTCATACATAGTGAATGTATCTGAACAATTCAGATACGGTTACGGTATCTGAAAGACGGTATTGCAAAAACTCCTTATTATTAATCATTCCTCGTTAAAGAGGCTTTATTTCAAAAATTTCAAAAACACTTGAAACATGTGAGCAGTTTAATATATGACGGTATTGACGGTATTGTGCGTGTGTGCTGTATGAACATGATTTTAATAATTAACCGACAAACTGCAATGCATATTTTATCTTACTTACTAGGGCTATTGTTAGCGAACAATCGTTACGTCGTTCTAATGTAACATATTGCCAGCGTTTATTACTCTATAATAATTCAGATTTTAATGTTGATCTTTTTTGATTCTGTAAAAATTACGAAAAATCCACTATTCAATCTAGAAAATTGTTTTGTAATTTCTTAACTCGATAATACTGCTTTATAATGATAAGCAGATTTAATTCGGACTTTCTAACTTCATCTTCAAATTTTTTAAATATGTTTTATGCTAATTATTCAAACAATATCACTGAATTTTAGCTTTAAAATTTTATCTCTATATTATATTTTATAATCACAATTATACAAAGTGGATCAAAATAATTATTTGTTTGTTTTGAATTTGTGAATTTGAATATACATATAAAAAGTTTTTGCTCAAGAAATTAATTTTTTATATATGGAACATTGAAAATGCTCAAGTCGCTTGTTGTACGTACTTCAAATGTATAAGCTGGTTCTCTGTATTTTTTAGGTCCTTATGGAGCAGTTCTTGCTGGTCCTGCTGTAGGTCCAGCGGCTCTCGCCGGACCTATCGCAGCACCAGCTCTGATTGCTGGCCCATCCGGCAGTATTGCTGCTGGACACGGTGGATTAGGCGGTATCGTTCGTGGATATGCGTCTGGACACTGGTAATTTACATCACCCCGGCAATATGAACTAAGGACCTTCGCGACTGATCTCTCAGATACCCGCAATCTCGATCACGATCTGCATCACAATTTTCGTTATTCGGCATATTTCCCATCATCATATTTCTTATATGTGTATATAACATAAAGTTTCATACATATAATGTTAATATTATAATAATAATAAACGCATGGCACTTCTGGAACAAAACTTTTTGCCTGTTACATCTTCCTACATGCACTTCTAATAGTTAGTTTATATAAATTTATATATATATATTCACGATATATTGAACTCTAGTGTCTCTAAAAGAAAACGTTTTTCTAAACATTAAAAAGAAGTAATTATGAAGAAATAACATTTTTTAATTTCATGTAGAGCTCTCCGGGGCATAACGGGATATGGTCGATATCTTTTTACAGAGATGCTGCCATGTAATGAAATGTCATGTAATGATTAAATAAGAGTTAATGTTAATAAAGAACCGTAACCATTTCCGATTCTCTTGAGAGCTCATTGTGTGCGACAGTATTTGTAAACGAGTAAAATGCGAGCGACCAGAATCCATAATTGTTTTGACGTGTATAATATCTTCTTAGCAGCCAATAGGGCTTGGTGCGGCCGGTCAACGGCCTCTATTTCGCGGTCCATTGTGCCGTCATTGGTGCCAATGTTTCTATTGCGCAATGATACCCGTCCACCTTCTCCGGTAATTGTTGGAAATTGGCTCAACGCCATACCAATCAGCCGCATATTCTCCCGCGTAAAAGGAATGGGTGATCGCGCGGATATCGAAGCATTTCCCTTTTCGTCTCGTTTTCTCAATGCACATTCGCGTGACATTCTGCGCATTCCGGATCTTTAATCTCCATTTTTAATCACGGTCAGAATGCAAGACGCTGTGTTATAACGATGCCGGCGCATCACCGTCCGGGCACGCTCGTGTTTTCTATCTAGCGCTTGTGGCCGCAAAAATTATGGCAATATCCACGCGTCCACGCGCGCATTACCATCTCAAAAACACCAGCTCAACCATCGCTTAGAAAAATATATTCTTGTGTAATAAGTAGGTATAAATTTTTATAAAAATGCACCAGATTGAAACCTTTGAAGGCACTGTTGTATGGCAAAATACAAGAGGTGTGAGTAAACATGTGGCGTATGTTAATAATAGCAAGATTAATGATACATGTTGTCGATAAAGTGATACTGACTCCTTTCAAGATTCTTTAGTTTTTTAATTGAGTTTAGAATAGATTACATCGCACTATAGATTTTATAGATAACATATAAGGTTGATACTTTTTAAAAGGCAATGTTTATTTTTTAATTATTTCTATTGTATTAATTTATTACTATTAATAATGGACTCACAGGTGAATGCTGTGTTCGCACTGCTTCTTGATAAAGAGACGGTGCCAATTTTCTCATACCAACAGGACAATATGTTATCGTAGCACTGAGATATTATAGAGCAGATAAGTTCTATATAAAACGCGTTTTGAGGGACATTCGGCAATAATTTAACAATAATTAAGCCAATTTAATGATAAAGGCGAAACAGTATTGAAGACGTAGTCTCTATAACAAAACTGCTGTTAAATACAACTGTCTCTGAAGTACTGCACTCCTGCATCCAACCTGCGATAAGGCACATATGGAAAATATCTCTAACCTGAAATTAACACGAAAATATTCCTAATAATATCCAGAATTATTAATGCAGCATTATGTTCGTTTTATTGGAAGCAAAATAATGACCGAATTCGAATAGTGAGGACAGTCGATCGAATAGTGAAAAGGATACGTAATAAAATTCTTGCAAGCTAGATGTACCTAAAAGACAGAGTGGATATAACAATATTTTTCAGAAATTGTTATATCCGGCACACACACACACAAGACTAGTTTATTTTTTAATTTTTATTTTTTCTGTGATAAATTATACGTTATTTATAATTTTACAATCTATTGTTTATGTATAGTTTGTATATGCATTCTTACACAATTTTTCAACGTCATGTATCTCATTTATGTAATTTTGCATGATCAATTTCCACCTAATTTTCGACAACCTTCTACGAGATTGAATAATGCTGCATCATTACGTTTTTATTACTGTTCTTACTGATTATATTTATTAAAGTAAAGTTATTAATTTTTTCCATATTTATTTGCATTTTATATATTTGTAAAAATTATTATTGTCATTTCTGAATCCGTTAAGTGGTAAAAGTGATACATTGCAACTAGAATTTTATTTACTATTTAGATCTAATTGCATGTAGTTAATATATTAAATATATAAAAATAATTCTTATCAATATAAGAAAGTTTTGTTAATTATATTTATATTAAATAACATAATCTTAAAATTGTTCTTAATTTTTGTTTTAATGTTACAGTGAATATTGGAACATATTTTAACACTGTCGCTTTTCTTTTTCGTTATTGAAAGTTGTTTGTAAATATACTTCATAATGAAAAGAATTGTTTAGGAGAAAATCGGTGAGATTGCAACTGACAAACCCGCGAAAGAGGATTGAAAAAGTCGTCATGAAAATACATTTGCCGAAGTTATCCATAAGCGCGTGCAAACTTTATTGTACTTCATCAACCGAGCGGTCGAAGGGGCGCTTGTTAGTCGTCGCCGTACTTGATGAGAAAAGTTTAATCTACTAGTCCGTAATGCGTTTTTGTGTCACTCGTGAAATATGAATCGAAATGTTTTTGAATAATGTTAACGACGATCATTTTGTATTTAAAATAAATAACAAGTTGCCATAAACATACTTTTGATTTATTTTTCATGAAACTGAATTTTCGTATACTTGATTTCAATATCATTTCAATCGTATGTCTAATTATTCAAAATGTAATTTAAAAATGTATTCTACGCGAAAATTAATACATATCAATGGCATAACGTTTTACTTTTTTCTCATCGCAAATCGTTTTTTTTTTCTATATCCAGAAAAGAGGGACTGCACGATAACGCTACGTGAAATCGCACGACAACGCCAATCGTCGAGCTACCCATGCACCGTCCGAAACGATCCGATCGAGTTATGCAAATTCGCGTACCTACACGCAACTCTGTATCCGTTCTCATTGATTCGGGACGGATGCATCGTTGATATTGTTCTCAAATCACTCGACGTGCTGACATGGGACACAAGAATGAACGCGCAGTGATAGTAGCCGATGATAATACCTACGCTCGATACGATTATGCTCTCGAAATAATACTATTTAATTGGAAATAGATTGATTTATTACGCGTTCAGCAATACGTCTAAATTACTTGCATGATTTTGCATGAATAATACGTTATGTCACACATACACACAAAAACATACAGGCACAAATAATGTCTATCTTTATAGTTTGATCTTTTGAACTCAAATAATTAGTAAAATAATTAGTAAAATTATCAAATTTGTTATTTTCCATCTAATTTTTCTGAATATGCAATATATCCTGTAATTGATGTCTGATCGATATTATCTTTATTACAACTTTGTTACAATATTAAGTTTACATTAAATTATTTAAAAATAAAAATGAGCAATAAACAATTATTTTTTCAGAAGTTTCAGCCATCGATGCTTCGCGCCAATACAATTTATTGCGCGCGTTTTATTATGTATAGTTTGTTTCATAAAGTATAAATTAAAAATCTATTATTCACCACGTTTGTTACTATAGTATTAATTTTTCTCGTATTGCTTCACGACGATAAGGTGATACACTCAATCAGTTTGGTATTGGAAGATAAATCATCCGCGGGTAGCTACATATCTATAGTGTCCTGTATAAGAGCAACATATACAGATTCTTGAATTTCTACGGTACGTGCTCTAACTGTGATTACGACTCGAGTATCCGTGAGCTGGACTCGTTGATCCAACAGACATAGTAATAGCGATGGCGCAACCACATTACATTTCAATCAAGTTTCCTACTCCATATACATATATACGTATGTATATTTACATATGACTGCCAATATAGGTAAACTTATCTAAATTTAATCTTGCCCTTCCAAAAACAACGCTAGCTGTAAATGCATCGAAGAAAAAATCTTTATTATATTATTATTCGAGTAGAAACATTGCGTAATTCGTAACGAAAAATATTGTTTAACGAAATATATAGAAATACTCTCGAGAAACGTTTGGTATGGAAATAACGCTATCGCGGAGAGCTATTGCAATTAAAGATTCAATGCTTGATCCGATGCTGCTAAATAGAAATTCCCGGCATTCCGCAATTCTCTTCAACTATTAATTTGATCGCGTCCGTAGGGAGTGTGCTAACAATGACACTTACTGGAATTGAAATTGCGTACATATTAATAAAGTGACAATTGTCACACATTAATATGTAATGTCGCTATTTAGATAATTGCGCTACCAGCTGCAATGGTTTTCCATTGGCAATTATCTTACCTTTCAAAAATTTCTTATGTTGATTATTGAAAAGCTTTCGTGTTTAATTTTTAGCAAGTAGTGAGAAAAATAGTAGAAAATAAATGATAAAAAATGCTGAATTAACACATTCAAAATGTAAATAATTACGATTGGGATACGTGTCAGAAAAAAATGACTCAGGGCAAAGACGATAAAATAACGACTTGTTAGCATTAATAACTGTTAATTACTTACTTATCTGTTACCTTCAAAGATACGTGGTATCTATATACCTAATTGTCCCAATACTTACCTGTTACTTTCAAAGATATATAGTATCTATATACCTAATAGTCACAATACTTATCTGTGTTACCTTGAAAGATATGTAGTCTATATACCTAATTGTTCCAATACTTTTCCGTTACCTTCAACGATATGTAATATACCTAATTGTCACAATAATTGTGCCAATTAGAATTTAAAACGCTTCGATATCTGTCATTTTTGTTCATGGAAAAAAACGATGAATTCTTATTGCGCAGTACGTTTAATTTATTGTATGCATAATTACATAACTTTTGCAACTTTGTAATAATAATAAGTAAAATTATTTGTTTATATAATATTTATAAAATAAATCATTCAAATGATTGCCTGGGTTGTATGTAAATGGCGTAATTAATAATGTAGATTATGTAGAAGTCAATATAATACGAGTCGAGCGTACAAGCAACATAAATCTTACATCGAAAACTCGACATTCTGCTTTTATTAGGTAAATATGCTTAGTTAGTTGAATTACTTTGAGCTTTTACACGCGACGCGATTCTAGAATTGTTTGTCCCTTTCAAGTTTAAATTCCTTCCAACTGCTAGAAGTAGGAACAGCACGCCAGCATACGCATTTACAATTTTTCTCCGCTATAATCTGGAATTTTATTATCAAAGTGTACTGGAGCAGAATGCGTAGATTAGTATTAGGATTAATTTAAACAAACAGCAAGAGTATGTCTATAAATTTATTGCATATGGCACGTATATAAATCACGATTTACCTTTGTACACGGAAGAAGGGTTTAATAAAAACTTTATTGTTAGACAAGCTTATATTAAAGCATATGAATAAATAAATAAATAAAGTTATTTTATAATTCCAGAATAATAAACGTTAATATCTGTTGTTGATGCAGTGTATTCAACAATACTCGTGTATTTTTCTTGTCACTCAGATTACATATCTCGTATTAAACGCAAATATATTTGTTTTGTGATAAATCAATATTAATATTTAATTGTTTTAAGCTAGAAAATTTGCTTTTTTATAGTTATATAAAATTCACAAATAAATTTGAATTAAAGGACAGACGGAATAAAAAGTTATAGCTGGATGAAGTTAATAGGATATGTATATAACAACTGGCACATGATTAATAATACTTCAGTGTATATAAATAAGAAAATAATATTTTATTATTTTACATCAAGAAACAAGTATCTTACAACTATTGTGTAATTAACAAATGTTGAAATTACATGTTACTTGAAATTAATTCATTTTATTATCTCGATGTACTTAATTCAACTTACTATCAGTAAGCATATTAAGGACATTGTATAAATCTATTGCATTGTATATTATGCATATTAATTGGCGTATAATATAATGTTTCACCGATATTTTAAAGTGGATTGTAAGCTTAACGCTGTGCTAATCCCCCGGATGCAGCAGAACTTGCAGCTCCAGCGGAAGCGGCACCACTATTACCAACGCGGCCTCCTAAAAAGCCTGGCGCTACTAAACGGCTAGGAACAACTCCCACTGCTGGTCTCCCGGCAACATTCGGCCATATTTCTCCGTGCACGAAACGGTGCAATACAGGATAACTAGGTGGAATTTCTATATGTTGGCCCAAACCGGTACGGAAGTTATCAACGTACGTTTTGAAGCCGTTGAAAGCACTTGATGCTGCACTAGCCGCTGATGTCGCAAAATTATGAGAGAACTCACCAACCCTGGGTATACCTACAAGGTTCACAAGATTGGGAAATGTTTCTTCGTGGAACAATTGTGCTGGTATTACTCCTCCTTGTATCATCTGTAATAATCGTGCAAAATATTGTTAATAAGTACAGCCTTAAATTAGAAAATTAATGTGAATAATATATAGGTACAGTATCTACAATAATATATGTAATAGCTATAAATAGCATAAATAAACGGTGTACGATCTTACAATAATTATTGATTATAATAATCTTTTTCTATTTAACAGAATTTTATAATGAATGTAATTAATACAAAGCTATTATTATTTACAATAACACAATTTCACACGTTGTCAATTGAATTTAAATATATTATTAGAATTTATATATAAGTTTATTAATTTAATTTGCAATTAGTTTGTATATTTTAAAACATTGTTATTAGACGTAGTATAAATTTACGTACATTTGCAGAAACGAGCGTCAGGAAGATCGCAGAAATGACGTGACTTTGAGCCATGATGAGAAATTAAACTCAAGTAACGTCTTGTGTAAATGCAAAACGTACGACTTCAGTACTTGTACTGAATTGTTAATTGCACGAAACTAATTTTTTTTCGTTCGAGAATGTCCTTTTATATGCGGAGGTTGTGTATTCCTTTGTGCAAAATCCGTATCCCGAAGTATCTTTAAACATTGATATGTCTCGTCTCGGTTTATCGGTTTCAGGTACTTCGCACGATTATGATTGCAATGAACAGGCGATAACGTAAGCAAAATGGTCTTAATCGGTCTCGCGTGCGATGATCTCACGTTTCGACGTGTCCTTGAAATGGATTTATATAAACGAAATATCGAGTCGAATTAAAATAAGTTGGTATATATGTAAAGTAAAAGCCATATGCGAGAAAAATAAAAATTGTAAAAGATTGGAAGGATTCAAATATTTAATGTACATCATAATTATCATTATAATAAATAATGTCGTACATAATTATTATATTTAATACAGTTATTAATCCATTTCAGAAAATGTATGGAGTAAAATGATTATAACAAATTATTCAATAAATAATTGTAGACGATGTTATGTAATAAAAAATGCGAACATAATAACTTTACTAAATAATTCTTCTATTTTTGAAAGCACATGAAGTAGAGTCTATAGAATTTTGATACATATACCCTTCTAGAGCGCATAACATTCGGAGGTGCTCGGTTATTGCAAATTTTAATTAGAACAATATTGATAATCTTCCTCTCTCTCTCTCTCTCTCTCTCTCTCTCTTTCTATCTCTCTTTCTCTTTTTTTCTTTCGTTCTCTCTGTATTGCTACAAACTTGCATCACTGCTCACATTTCAATACGCTTATAAAGAGAGAAAGAATATTTCTCCTTTTTCATCGAATCCTAATTTGAAAATATTGAGAAATATCATACATATATGTGTAACAGCGCATTAAAAGTGTTTTTTATCATATCATTACAGAGTTAATTATCATCCAGTAATGGATTCGCATATTATTTTAATAAAAATTGCTAATTACAGAAAGATAGCTGAATATTATTTTATGCAAAAACAGTTATGACTGCAGTAAATACCACATTTAATTACTAAGATATTTAATATTGCAAATTAAGAAAATGTAAAAAATAGTGTCCAGAATAATATATTAAGGAAAAATTGATCAATTTAATTGATTAATTTAATTACATTTTTTAACGTTTTATTACAATATCGTACTACAGCTTTTTGCCAGTGCTATTTTATATGTCATAATATATTATTCTTCTTACGTATTATACATGGAAAATTACGTCACTATAAAAAATTATAAATAGTACTTAATTTATTGAAAATGACGACAGAATTCGACGATCTACACAGTCAGTTAATTTTCACAATGATATGAATATGTGAGAGTCCACATGAACGAGACTTGCATTATGCTACGTTGCATTACGGGATGTCAACACCGAATAACGAGAATTCTTTTATTCTCAAACTGTCTTTGTATCATAGTTATCGGGTATCTCAAAATCGCAATCGTGTGATAACGCGAGGAACGAAGGCAGTTAATGGAAAATGTGGAAAATGTCAAATTTGCAAAATTTGCGATAGATAGCCGAACGAAAATGACATGAATAACTTTTGCTGGAATCATTAATTTGGTATTAGCGATTTAATCGATCCATCCATATATTTTTATTGTTTCTGCTTCAAGAGAACTGTTTATGGTTATTCGCTATTGATAATCAGTTATTCGGAAAAACAATTCAATTCAATTTAATTGTAATTAAATTGCTCCTTTTGCGTGTTTGTGTAAAAAAAACATTAAAGGTATTAATTAATGTTATTAACAGTAGATATACTCGATAAAATTTAAATCAAGTAGAATAAATACTTTTAGATTTCAGTGCTTATTTATTTTCAGTCTATTAAATTCATCAATCGCATATAAATTTTTTGGATAGAAAATGTAAACGTTTCAAATTACTAATAATTTCATAATTATGTGAGTAAAATGAGAAATATGGATTTGCTGATAATAATTTAGAATATTTAGATTAATTTTGAAGCACCGATAAATAACGGAATATTACTCGATCGTCGTTCAATTTAAACATGTTTACTTTCCGCCAATATTTTGGAACATCCTGTCGATATATAAATATTGCATATTGATAAAACGTTCACGTGGATGTTGCGCATTCGTGATTTTTGATCTTGCTTACAGCGGAGGCACGTAAAGCTAACGAGCAATTCTGTAGTTACACATCGGCGTATTTTTCTCGGTGCACGTACGCTCAACCGAGACAACAAACCGCGCGGGGGTAACAATGAAATACAATTAACCAGACAATTTTACGCGGATGCAGAGAAAAACAGGAGAGATACTTCCCACTGGTAATCCTCATAATGGCATAACGCAATGGACCTGATGCACTTTGCTCTAATGCACTCAGCATTGCAGCCGTCAACAATGTACGGGATGGAACGCTTGAAATTAATATCCTCGTTCCAGGATATCGCCGGAAATTCTGACGGACAATAATGAGCTGCTAAAATTCACGTATACATATTTTTTTATATTTCCAGTTTCTACTAAGACAATTCGTTCTATTTTGCTTACTCTTATAATTCAAATAATAGCATAATAATTGATAAACAATGTATAATTAAAAATGTGCATATTATCGCAAGACGTACGTGTATCTACTGTATTCAATTTGTAATGAGAAACGTTTGAGAATTCGAGAATCCACTTATAAAATCTGAATTTAAGATAGGCTGCATGCGCGATTGCATGTTCTCTTAAACAAAACCTCCCGCGAGATAACGGTGTATCGCGGTCACGAAGCGAAGGAGGATCGCAAGCATTCGAGGCGTTCGTGAGTTCTCCTGCAGCGACCGGCATCACTGATAACGTCTTTAACTGCATGCTGATAAGCCCGACAACTTAAACTTGGGCGTCAAACGAATGCCTGAATTTATCCGTTTACACCTCGTTAAAAAGAGGATCTTTCTATAATACGCAAACAATGACACGAAAGATTACGTCGATTCCCCGCTTCGATATCGGAGATTCCCGGAAATAGAATAAGAAGAAGAAAAAGTTCCGTAACAATTAAGATGAAAAAAATTTCGCCACGAAATGATTTAATCTTGATTCACGGTGATATCTGCGAGCGAATAATTTTTTATCATAATTACTCGCTTAAATGGTTGTACAGAAACTCAACAGAAAGATAGAGTTTCGAAAGCAAATACGTACATATTATTATGAATCCAGATATTTTCTAGAAAGTAATTAATTATTCGTCCGAATTATTATCAAGATTTATTATCAAAACGTAAAATTACATGTGTTAATTAGAGTTGAATATTCACTTCGGGACTTAATCTCGACGGTAATATTAACTTTAATATTAAATCAACTACCCTCCAAGGAGCTTATATTCGTCGAGAGACTCTTTTAATGTTTGCCTTTTCGTTACGCCATTGCGAGAGATATAGGGAGAATTTAAGGAAGATCCTAATCTGACGGCAAAGGACGGTGCCAGACGAAGATTAATGGTCCCATGATACCGGATCTTGCCAGGCTTCTTCATAAAATTTGTACGAAACTTGCGATCATATTTTTCAACTACAAAAAATATCTCGAATGTTGAAATATTGCAGAATGTTCACAGTATTGAGAACCATTCAGAAATCTCTTGAGCGACAATCTTCTGAGATGCGTTAAAATATTCGTGTGCGTATAGAGCTTCAATATTGCTTAATGTTATATATGTATAGTGCTGATATTTTATTCTTGTAGTTTCAAAAGTTGTTGCGTATTTTCCGCGTGACGTAGAATTTGTGAGTTTTTGTTTTTACTTGAAATAAATAAATTTTATTGTCTCTTTCTACAGCGGTACACAAGGCGCACACGAAGCATTCTAATGGTCACCCTTTGTCTGTCGAAAACTGAGACTAAATTGAAAAGAATGGTAGCCATTTGGACATCAAAATGTCGATAGTTACAGAGTTATTTCACATCGAGAATTTATCTCTGAAAAAAGATTTATTGTGGACAAACTTCAGAAGTGGAAACACGTAACCAAAGTTTAATTGTAATTAATTTTAAGGAGATTATGTAAAAAATCGTTACTTAAGACTTCATGTAATTTATAATAACTGTAGAAATTCAAAGATTTATGAATTAACACATTCTTACGTGTGTTAGAATTCATACAAACGTAAAACATGTGTAATATATGTAAATAAAATAAATATAATAAAATCTATAGCCTATTACTTTACGTAGAAATCTTCTAAAATACAACCTAAAATACAAAATAATGAATTGACGTATAGAATAATAATATCTCAGTAAACGCTAGCGGATACTGATGCTAAATCCAGTTAATTATTAAAGTTACGTAAACGGAAATACATATGAGACAATTATCTCTACATGTGTATATAAAATATATTTAATAATTTCTTAATATTGCCATATCTTATATGCTACTTGTTTGGCTATTTGTTTTTTTAAAAGACTAAGGATTGTTATAATAATTAAACATAATAGATACTAGGGATGTAAAGAATTCTTTGGAAATAAGCCATGTAAACAAGTTTAATATACATACGTATAGATTAACTTATAGATATAAAATATGGATTAACACACACACACACACACACACACACACACACACACACATTTTATTATCATCTTATCGATCTCAAGAGGTCGACCATTGGTTTTCCATCTATTCTCGTTACGATCACGTCCGTTTTCCTACCGCCCCTGTAATCTGCTTCTCGCATACATAACGCGTCGCCCGAGGCCATTATCAAACAGATATCAATTTTAAATTTGATCTTTGTGACGCGCAGAGTCACTTTTCACTGTCAGATTTATGGTCCGTTGAGAAAAAACTGTGACATCTACGTGAATTCGTGTGAAATTGGTTTCATAATAAAATATTTTTATTATAAGATAAATCATGCAGATCAAAAATGTGACGATATAATATTTGATTGAATAAAAAATAAAATTAAGCACTAGACCACGTACTACGACAAATTATACAATTTTAGACAAATATTCCAAGTACATTTTAAAA